TGTACTCAAGCCTTGCCCGTTCTGTCGCGAATTTGATTCTCACTGAGGCTGTTTAGTTTTAAACAAGTGGGTCGAATGACTTATTAATGTCCGTTCGCTAATATGGCCTACTTACTGTAAAGGGAATGGATTTTCTTCATACGAATATACGCACGCCCCAGCACTTTGGCACAGTAGCATCTGTAATAGGAAAAAGACAATCGTAGTCTGAGGGCAAAACCCCATCAAAATACAATTACTTGAAAACCTACGAAAATCCTACCTATACAATGGGTTTTTTGTAATATGTATAGTTGCTCTAAATGCAACACTGCGCAATATACAGTAGGAAACCATGCGATCCTGAATTGAGTAAATCAATCACACACTGCAGGAGCAACGGGTATGCTGACAAATTAAGCTGTAAGAAGATATTTAATAAATTAATAACAACTGTGAAATTAATCGTAGATAAAAGACCCTTTCGTTTGATCAACGTTCTATGGAGACGCAGTGGGAGATGTGGAAAAATGCGTGGAGACCAGATCATGGCATAAGACGTTTTAGATGCATATCTGTGTGGTGTTTTCACCGCTCACATGCTTCTACGTCCTCAAAGCAAGGACACGAGGCTTTTTTCTAGCGAACTGCAGGGTGAGCGTTTCAATAAAGTGCGGTCGAAACTGGTATCAATGGGACTTGTGAATGCCAAAACAATTAACATAAGTCGCTCCGGTCTCATCGCTATTAAATACCAGATGGATTCGAGCTTGTATGCACATTCGAACTTAGCATAACGGGTCTGTGCTCGCGTGGGAATCTCTGATGGGCCAACAATTCTCATGGATCAAAGCAAACGAAAGGTACGGTCACGCGCCTAGTGGAAGAGAACAAACTAGGATTAGCCTCCCTCCAACAAAATCACGAATATTTCTTCACATTTCCTACTTTTCACCCTGCAGATGTGTTAAAATGAGACTAATCCCCACCCAAAGTGAATCAGTTCATAATGACTACGATAAATCAATCCGTTCTCTTTAGTGTAGCATTGTTTATTAATAAAACATGAATAAGTATGTAGCGAACGCAAATCAAGTTTAAAAACTGCTGAAATCGATCATAAGTACGGAACAGTGCCGGATGCCGCTTAGTTTATCTTCGATGAAAGTATCATATTCCGGTATAAATATGAAGCAGATAACCTTCTCATGTCTAGGCTAGATATGCATTAAGAAGACTGCATTAGGCGGGTAGACACACAACAGGACTGTGTGCAGAACACATATTAAAATCTTTTCAGTTACAAGTCTACGTTTTTGTGCTTGGCGGGTTATTAGAATTGACAGTCATTATTGTGTCAGGGCACGGGTTTGATGCGGAAATCAAACACTGATGATGTATGCAATTTTTCCAGTTTAATGTGGGCGTAAAAATGAGGCGATCTTATCAAAGTCACTCGTTGTTCGCACTTTACCCCTAAAAGGAGTCTCGCGGTAGATGCGCTGGAGCAACACAGGGGCTAGATAGGAGGTGCATAAATTTGGTGCATAAATTTCTGGACAGGGTGCGTTGGAGATCAGGGGACGGGGGAGGGTTAGATCGCATGCGTTGGTGGGGGTCTACGTCGCGCCAGCCGCCAGCGCTTTCTCCCGTCTCCGGTCTTCTTGACTCTGTCTTGATAGGGGATACAGATAGGGGAGGAGGAGAGCGTGCCGTAGACGCCACGCAAGTCAACTGTCACTATTAACTAACCCACACGTCAGTCACCGTCCATACTCTCTCCCCGCTGTGAAGCATACGATGGTATCGTCGCTCGATTGTTCACTTGACTGAAGTTGACCTCTACTGAGTGACATTTACCGAAGGGGCTTCAGCTCATGCAAGGGTTTAGTTAGTGCATCAGGTTTTAGCCTAATGTTCTCACCTTACCTTTTCAGCAACTATTGTCTTTCAAATGACGTTGTGACTTTACCTCAGATAGACAGAATGTCGATTATGCAAAAAATTCGCACTGTTGCTTTTGACCTAAATTTTATTTACCAGTCTTGGGCAGTTTCTAGAAGCAGGCATTCCGCTCTGGTAGACATTGTCCGTAGCGGTCCAATCAATTTCCAGCTAATTGCAGCTTCTTTCCATCTTTATTTATATCTGACTTCGTTCCTAAAACAGGCATACTCGCGCAATAATTAGCACGCCATCCATAATGGCGGAAGTAAATCATAAATCTCCTTTGTAAAATGGACGACGTCGTCCTCCTAGTCATTGCTTAATATTATAGACATTGTTTATACGGTGTTATCAGCTTTTCTTACTGATCATTGCGTTAATCTGCTGCAAGGGATGGGAGACAGACTAGCGTCACCGATATTTTGACTTTGTATTCGCGCGACACGGGTCACTATTATCCGGGACACGTCTCCCAGCTAAGTGAGCAGAAGTTGTACCGCCGTCTCTGATGTGCACATCAGACCCATCTTTCAGTATGGTTAATTAATGAGAGGTAAAAGCGATCGCTGGAAAAGAGCACTATTCGACGGACTTTTTGGATCTACGCTCGATCCCATCATCAGAAACAATGACGGATACGGATTGCTATAGTTAATGTTAGTTTTGAGCGCTGACTTCTCGCCTGATGATATTAGGATTGGATAGTTGCGTTGTTTTCTGTTTGGACAACAGGTGCGGGTTTTGTTAATCTTTTCAAGTTCTTATACTCAAAACAAGCACTATGAAGCATCCATACGAAAGCAAACTAGGTTATTCGAAAAATAAATACAACAAATTTAAAATGCTATTGAGGAATTTAAACAGCAAATTGTTAATGAGACCCGCTGCTGTCTGTTTCAATGCGTGCTCCCAGAATTTATTACAAAGGTTGTTATTTCGCGCCTGCATTATTTTTTACGCATCGATAGTGCTCGACAAAACCCACTGTTATTTTTCTGTTTGTTTACCTAACAAACGCGTGAGAATCGTTTTCATTTATTTCGGGCACAATAAAATATAGCCCCCAGATTATGAATCTTCTCTGCAAGACACAAAAACTCAAATCGCCTAGTTAAGCAAAAGTGTTATATTAGGGTGAATAAACATGCCAAACATACTTATTCTCTTTAAATTATAATGTATTTGCGGCTTGAAAGAAGTTATAATCTGATAACGTTAACAGTGTTGAATAATTTATACATAAAATGCCGATTCTCCAAAAGACTTGCATTCCGACGAAAGGGTCATATACGTTGAGCTGTTCCTAATACCTTTTTGTGTAAACGAGAATCAGAACATCTCAACCTGAAATGTAGACTTGAGTTAAATTACTTCTTTGTGGACTGTCTTCTCCTGATTTTTTGAGTGCTCGTCAATGAAAGGCAGAACTATGTCCTGTTTTATTTTGTACTTGACCTGGCATCCGTTTATTATTAAAGTAATAATTACGTAAAGGTTTTCAGATTGGCAAACTTGGCGATTTGATGAAAAAATGTGAACTCACCGGGACGGGTTTATTTAGATGCTGACGTTTCGAAAATGGCTGGTCCTCTGTCCATTGTCAAAAAGTAAAATGCCCGTAATTGATCAGAAATCCTAACTGGCAACTCACGTTGGTTACCTCATTCTGATCGTGCATTAATTGTCTCGAAAATTAATCAAGGCATATATATATATATATGATGGCAGGGGGCGCTCAGGAGACTCGAGTGTTCCACACTTCGGGGTTGCGTATAATGGGCTGACGGTGGCTAATAAGCCAAAAATTGCCATTACAGTCTCCCTTGTCTTTGTCGGTAATAACAAACTGCATATATATAAACAAAGAAGCAGAAGGCCAGCAAAGACAAGTGAGCCTGGGATAGCCCTTTCTAACATGTTTTCTCCGTCCCCAGGTCAGGAGGCACTTGCGGTTCCGACCCACGTTCTTTGTTTATCAAGCGTAAAGTCGCTTCTTCCACTGTACTATATACTAAAAATATATACCAAATAAACTACGTCTTTTTACGTAACTGCCTGTGAGGGCGTTTGACCAAGTCGGAAGTCAGAGCGGAAGGAGAGCTTTCCGTAACCTGATCGGCAAACGTCCTTCTATCATATTTAAAGCGCTGGACGAATAAACACCTGATGATCAGAAGGACGCGGGTTCAAATCTCCGATCCCAAAACCTGGGGTACGGAAATACTGGCTGACGACTGCTAAGATACCGGAACTTATCGTCGCTGTCTTTCTTATCTTTCTCGTTAGCCCCTTCTCTGCGCATACATATATTTGGGCGAAATGGTATTACCGACAAAGACAAGGGAGACTGGAATGGCCATTTCTGGCTTATTAGCCGTCGTCAGCCAGCCATACCCAAGCCCAAAGTGTGGAACACCCGAGCCTCGAACTCGCGACCTGTCGGTTTAGAAGTCCACGCCTCTACCCACCGGGCCACGAGCCCGTTGCCCTGTCGGTTTTCGATCGGGAATATACAATGGTACCCCCCCCTACCATATGTATATATATGAGAAGATAAGGCGATTACAGGAACCATGGATTTATTTGCCTGACGTTTCGAAAGCAAACAAGCTTCCATCATCGGACGTGGGTTGCGTACTGCACGTCACAGTATTTAAGGGGTTTCTTTCGTGCTGGCGTGTCACCGACTTCCGGCGCGATGCATCACAAGGCCTGACGGCATCGGTTTCTCCTCATCCTTTGTCGGGTTTGGAGAGGGGAGCGGCGTCGGGGTGACCGCGGCCATTTCTCTTGTTTGCATTTTCCGTTGTTCGCCCCACTTATCTTGCCTTCCTACCCGTTCGCACCTGCCCGTAACCGTGTTGACGTTGGTTGTCATGCCAGTGTTGACGTCGGGCTGGGGGGTCCTGTCACTGTTGGGCGTTCTCACTGACTGCTCTCGTCTGTCTGCATTCGCCGCCGGTTGTCCCCTGGTTTCGTTTGTATCCGATGCCTTTCTATGCCCATTCGTGCTCCCGCTTGGTCTGGGTTTGGTTACTGTCGTCTCCGGCCTGACGTCTCGTCGGTAGCCCTGCCTATTGAACTTCACCCGGAGAGCTTGGTAGGCAACCGGCAAACGCAGCGGTTGATCGAGGTAGTTGTGGTGTGCCAGGCTTCGAGCGTCTCCCTGACCGTTTGATTGTTCCCTTGGCCCAAGACTTCGGCGTCTTGGAAGGCGAAGGCGTGACCAAAAGCTGCACAATGTTCTGCCACCAACGAGAGCTGGTCCATTCTTTGTACCGCTCTTGCGTGCTCGTCCATACGGTCTGCAATCTCTTCCCGGTTTCTCCAACGTGGTTTGCCTCGCAGGAACTACACGGGATCCGATAGACGACGTTTGCAGTTTCGCCTCGTGGCAGAGGCGTTTTTGGCCTCATGACCAGACGTCTTATTGTCGCTTCTGGTTTGTGGGCGATGCCGATACACAATGGTTGCAAGATGCGAGCAACTGCCTCGGAAACGTTCGCAATATATGGCAGCGCACGCCAGACTTTCGGCTGATTTGCCGTTGACTTTATGATTGGCCTGGACAGTCTGCTGCGTTCTATAAAGCTGCGGGAGTAACCGTTGGAGGTGAACATCCGCCGTAGATAGTGGAGTTCGGCTACCTTGTCGGCCGGTTCGCCGCAGTGAGTGTCAATTCTCTTGTAGAGAGATCGCACACAGCTTCGTTTGTGACACAGCGGGTGATTGCTGTGGTAGAACAGGACTTGGAGAGTGTTAGTGGCCTTCCTGTAGACTGTCGTTTTTAGACTCCCGTTGACCTTGCGATGGACCAGAACGTCTAGAAACGCGATCTGATTGTTGTTCTCTGTCTCCATGGTGAATTGAATATCGGGAAGAACAGAGTTCAGTAGCGCGTGGAAATTCGAGACCATTTCCCGTTTGAGAACGACGAAAGTGTCGTCCACATACCGCGCCCAAAATTTTGGCTTGTACGTTGCGAACACCAACGTCTCCAACTTTTGAAGAATAGCTTCAGCAATGAAACCGGATAGTGGTGAGCCCATGGCGTACCTTTGATTTGCTCGTACACCGCCCCTTCAAATGTGAAGAACGTCTGGAGGCAATATTTAAGCAGTTGCACCAGGTGCCCCCGCCTAGGAGTATTGTTTGCCTCCGTGTATTGGTTGTCGAGGAGGTCGCTGACAGTTTCAACTGCCAAATCCTTTGGGATCGAGGTGAAAAGCGAGGTTACATCGAACGACACCATGATCTCGTCTGTGTTAATTTGCAGTCCATTCAGTCTTTCCAGGAAATGGACGGATGAGCGGACCGTCGTATCGGTGCCCGAAGTGAGGCAGTTCGGACGTCGGAACATCCATTTGGCCAGGTTGAATGTGGATGTCCCGCGCAAAGACACGATGGGACGGAGTGGGACACCATCTTTGTGTATTTTGGACAGCCCGTAGAACCCTGCCATGGCAGCATCAGTCGGTTTAGTGGCCAGTCGTTCTGCCCTAGTCATCGCGCCATTATTTTGTAGCATGGTGAGCGTCGTGTTTATTTGCGTCACCAGCTTCTTCATGGGGTCTCCATCACACTTGACTTACGCTTGCCTGTCTTCAAGCAAGGCATTGGCTTTCTGGAGGTACTCGGATTTGTCAAGTATAACTGTCGATCGCCCTTTGTCTGCCAGTAGGATAACGATACTCTTGTCCGCCTTCAGCGCCCTGAGGGCATCCTGCTGCGCTAGCGGGTTGACCAATCGCGGTTTGTGCGCAATAACCAGGGAGGTGACTTGTTGCCGAATGAGGTGCTGCGTCTCAGCTGGTTCTTGGGAGTGTTTTAGAACCGACTCGATCCTGGATACGAGGTTCACCGGATCGGCGTCCGAGATGTTGAATCCGGCAGCATGCTTCAGCACTTGAATCTGCTCTGGCTTAAACTCTTTGGAGGATAGATTGTGGACCAGTACATCGTTGTCATCTTGTCCAACTGAGCTTAATTTCTGGAACTTGTCCATCAATTCCTTATCACGTCTGGATCTCAATTCTCTGGCTCGCTGACCGATCACTTGGCTGAGGAGCGTTGTCTCGTTCTCGCCAACGAGCTCCGAGCACTTCGAAGACGACTGGCTCAAAATCCAGACTTGATAAGGAGTTGATGGACAAATTCCAGAAATTAAGCTCAGTTGGACAAGATGACGACGATGTACTGGTCCACAATCTATCCTCCAAAGAGTTTAAGCCAGATCAGATTCAAGTGCTGAAGCATGCTTCAGCAAAACGAAATTCGTTGGTCTCCCAAGTAATTAATCAGGTCTTAGCCCACTCGTAAAAGTAGTAATTGCGCAGTTATTGATTTTTATTGGATGGCAAGAAATTACTTCCGCAACGCTGACGACAAACATCCCGTCCACAAATAGGGCATCTCAAACAACCTAGTTATGACATTTAACAGATCATTTTATCAAGCGTTCAAAAAACCCTAACTCGACCAAGTAGACGACTCCAGCTTTCCTCATATTTTAGATTCCCCCCTGAAAGCCATAGAAACTCAGTCGCCATAACATTCTGCTCATACACACCCATCTCTCATATCATGTATTGAGCACAGCACTTCCGAACTTAGTTTCGTGTTTTCAAACACGACAAATAGTTTCTTCGTGAAGCACGGCCTCTCAGCGATTGGGAAGCACAACCGGGCAATTGGTTGATTTCAAATAATTCCTTTGTATACATTGGCAGTTTCGCTATCGACGCATTGACCCAAGAAGTCCGGGAGCTTTCTGTCCTTTTCGCAAGTGCAAATTGAACGGCTGCTTCTAGATGGTGAAGGAATAGGCGGAGAAGACGCAGTCGATACACATTCCAGATGCAGCCGCGTTCTACACGACGCTCAAAAGTAGCCACGCCATTCACGTGCTCTAATTTGAGATGCAGATGTTGCGTAATGACTGACTGATTGGTTGCTTGGATCGTTCCCTATTAAGGCAGAGCAAAGGCTTCAGCAACACAATATTACTAAGGACTAAAATTGGAAAACCTCGTAAAAGGCGGGGAAAATAATCACGAAAAACAAATCGTGTATGAATGCATGTTTTTCCATCAAAAGTCTCTAAAATTTATATTAAGAGGAAGCATAACAACAGGGAGGCCTAAAAGGACATATAACATTCTGACGAATCCATTACTTTTTTATGCATAACATTTAACGATCAGATCTGAGTCAACTCATTCGAAATTTGCGTTTATAATAATGAGTCAGGAACACTTACACTTGAACACTCATACAAGATTTATCAATAAACATACCCAAAGCTCCAAATTATATGCAACAGCTTCAAATTGAATAGTACAGGTAATGTTTGTATTCAGCATAGGATGGGGGTCCTCAGGTTTACAATCACCCATGAGAGGATCTTTGGAAGGATCTATTGTGAACCGTGTGAATGTATCACCTTTATGATAAATATCCAAACGGAGTGACGAAACATGGCGTAGTAGATGCTGCATGTCTGTGCCGTCATTTTTGCAATCCAATTCCTCTAAAAGCGAGTAGACTATGATTTTGCAACTAAATACATGACACGCTGCAACTAATGAAACTTTGAATTAATAAATCACAGGTGTGTGTGACCACAGCGCCAAACGACGGAGGCATAAAGTAATGAAAAACAGGACCCGACTATCTGCCTAGAACAATGGTTTCAGGTGTATTCGTAGTGCAAGCGACCCACAGTGACGGCCTTCAGAACATCTTCTGTTGACTCACAAGCTCGTAACTCAGGAACCTTACGTCATTTGGCATAAAACACAGGTATTTTATGAATTCAAGAGGTCATATAAGTATATTCTATGTTTAGTGAGTGACTGTGTCCGGGACAGCGTACGGTATTGCCTATTGCTTTTGCAGTGCGGTCAAAATCCGTAGAAATTCGGCTTCTAATAAAGACTTCGGAAATCAAGTGAGTTCTCGCAGAATGCTTGTTTAAATGTGCATGCTTGCCATTTCTTGGCATTACATGGAATTGATTGTTAGTAATTATTAGAAAAGCCGAAAATACCTCTTCACGTAAGCTTTAACAAACGCTGTGGTTAGTCAAGTATGTGCTAGTTTTCCAATGTTTCTTAAGCATCATAAGTGAGAAAGCTTGATATTATTTGCATCGTTTTGAATGGTCCAAATATTTCTAAGTTTGAGTCAGCCGTAGACAGCCCAGCTTCCTAGTTTTTATGTCCCGCACACGTGTGCGTGTGTGTGACTGCGCTTTTCCAGGAGGTGTGGCGTCAAGGTGAAGTCCCGCAAGATTTCAAAGACGCAACCATCGTGCATCTATACAAGCTGGAAGGAAACCGCCAGCTCTGCGAAAACTCCCGAGGCATCTCCTTGCTGAACATAGCCGGGACAAAATCACCGATCGTATCCTCCTCAATCGCCTGAATAATCACCTAGAACAGAGTCTTCTGCCGGAAAGCTAGTGCGGTTTCCGCCATCATCGCGGGACCGCGGATATGATCTTCGCCGCCCGTCAACTTCAGGAGCAGTGCCAAGAGATGCGGACCCATCTGTACTTTACCTTCGTGAATCTGACGAAATCCTTCGACACGGCGAATCGTAAAAGACTGTGGAAGCCCATGCAGACATTCGGCTGTCCCGAGCGATTCATTCAGATGGTGTGTCAGCTCCAAGACGGCATGATGGCGCGAGTCACGGACAACGAAGCTGTCTAAGAGGCATTTTCGGTGACCAACGGAATGAAGCAGGGATGCATCCTGGCGCACTTTCAATCGCGCGTATCCACAACCACAGTTCACGAACTTCTCTTCACCGATGACTGCGGCCTCAACACCACCTCGGAAGAGGACATGCAAAGTAGCATGGCCCTCTTCTCCGCCGCCTGCGAGAACTTCGGTCTGATCATCAACATGGAGAAGACGGTGGTCATGCATCAACCGCCACCAAACGCAACCCTTCCCCACAATGCGCCACAAATTAGCATGAACAGAACCCGACTGCAAGTGGTGGACAACTTCCCGTACCTGGGCAGTACCCCCCACCACAGCACGAAAATCGATGCAGAAATTGCCCGCAGGATCTCAAAGGCCAGTCAGGCCTTCGGCCGCCTTCAAAGCAAAGTTTGAAATCGTCATGGTCTCCAGCTCAGCAAGAAGCTAAAGATGTACACGGCCGTCACCCTCACGACGCTGTTGCACGGAGCAGACTTGAACTGTGTACACGAGGCAGGCATGCCGACTCAACCACTTCCACCTCAGCTGTCTTCGTCGCATCCTCAGGCTGAAATGGCGGGATCGAATCCCCGACACGGATGTACTAGAGGGAACTGGAATCTTCAGCAGCCAAACCATGCTGAGACAACTGCAGCTGCGCTGGAGCGGCTATCTCGTGCGGATGGATGACGAGCGGCTACCCAAACGACTCTTCTACGGAGACGTCGCCAAGGAGTCCCGCCGTCAGGAAGGCTAAATTTGCCGCTACAATGATACTCTGAAGTCCCCCCTGAAATGTCTGAAAATTAACCCGACCAACTGGGAAGACCTCGCCCGCAATCGACCGACCGACCGACCTGGAGAAGTTCAGTGAAGACAGGTGCTGCGATCTGCGAAGCCAACCGCATCACGGCTGCCAAAGCCAAACGTGAAGCACGCAAGTCCCAGCTGCGCCCACCTCGCAATGCTAACGCACAACCTCCTCCAATGTGTCCTCGGTGTCAACGTACATTCCGAGCATGAATTGGGCTTGTTGGACACCTCCAGCTCAACCACACCACTCGGACCGTACCAACCGTCGTCCTTCCGCCCAACATTT